TCCTCACGTTGACAGTCCCCAGAGTGCTGGATGTGGGAGAAGGGCTGAGCAGGTCTAAGGACCCGAACCCTTCCACCTTGCCCTTTCTCCTGGACCTGGAGCTGGTCTGGGGCAGAAGAGGGGGGCCCCCGGAATGGGGAGGTGGGGAGGGCTCTGGAGCAGGGGGAGAGGCCTGAGGGAGACTCCAGGGCTGGGGCCACACAAGGATTAAATCGCGCACACGCCACTGTGATCCCCTTCATCCTTTGCCAGGCCTAGACTTAAAAGGTTCGCAGTGCCACTGAGGGCCTGGCTCAGGCTGGGTTGACCCTTGGTGTGGTGGGCTGTTGAGCCTGATGTCTGCAAGCCTGTAGTGGATGACTGACACCCGTCTGCTGCTGGGTGCCCTTCATCAGAGACCAGCTGGGAGAAGCTGATAGGGACTCCCAAGCAGCATCTTATCCTCAGTGACCTTGGGCAAATCCCTGGGGACTCTCCTTAGGGGAGCACCCTGGATTTGGAAGCAGAGCTGCTGCCCCTCAGCTTCCCAAGCCAGCCCAGGGTTGGGGAAGGGCCCTGGCCCTTTTTAGTGACTCATTCTTTCCCTGTGCCTACCTCCTCCTCAGCAGTAACTATGACCTGGACTACGATCTGTACAGGGAGGACGCCCCCTACAGGTGAGTGAGTCCTCCCCTTGGATCTTCTGGGTACAGAGCTGGTGTCCTGGGATCTTGACTGCTGCCCTACCTCACCTCATAGGATGAATGAATATCAGAGAATCCCCCCACTCATCAACCGAGTGCCAGTCAAGGTCCGGAGGACTCACGTGAGCGGGGGACTCAAGAGCAGCTTCAGCCCTCACAGGGGCTCCAGGAATAGCCATCTGCCCCAAAAGCCGATAAAGCGTGAGTGAGGAGGGCTGCTCCTGGGGGGTGGGGCTGGGGCCGGGAGCCCAGGCAGCAACCTGCCTGGCCTCTCCCCTGCAGTGCGCCCCGAGGAGCTGCAGACCATCCGAGGGGAGCTGAGCCAGATCAAAGCCCAGGTGGACAGCCTGCTGGAGAACCTGGAGCGCATGGAGCAGCAGCGAGAGCAGCCCGCAGGTCAGCCACCAGCAGTTTGACCCACTCCGGGCCATACCAGGGGCCTCGGGGCCTCCCTTCCCTCTTTTCAGCCATCCTGTGGCTTAGAAGCCATGTGACCTTGGGGCTGTCCCAACACCCCAGCCCCCTCTTGCCCGACTTGTGTAACCTAGTCAGCCAGCTTCTCCTGACTTTAATACTGACCAATGACTCTTTCTGCACAGGACTAAAAGACAGTGAAGAGAACAGGGGCCCGGGCAATGAGGAGTCCTCCTGTGGAACCATGGAGCCCCCACAGGACCCCGGGAGCAGAGAGCACGCCGAGCCCCAGGGCCAGAGCACCACTGCAGAGGCAGCTGGCTCCCAGAGCACAGAGCCAGAGGAGCAGTGAGTAGGCTACCCTCCATCCACCTCTCCCTGCCTGTGTTTCGGCCTAAGGCTGCCAGAGGTGGTGGTAGTGGAGCAGTCCCAAGAAAGGGCAGCCCTATCTGCCTCTACCCTAACCTCTGGGCTGAATAGGCTCACCTGGGGCTGAGCTGCTGCTGTTGCTGAAACACCAACTTCGACTTGGGGACGTGAGGTTAGGTGGGGTACTTGAGCGTTGCAGAGGGGGAACATCCTGTCACAGGTGGACTTCATGGCTGCATACCCTTTGCCTGAGAACCACCTGGTGAGCTGGTTAAAGCCCACATTTCTCCCTTCCCCCACCCTGTCTGTTGGCTGTGTGTACTGCCTCCGGGGAAGCGGTGGCACCCCGAGCTCTCTGGAGGCCGGCCTGGAGAGGGAAGCAGGCCCAGTCAGCAGCTGATCCTGCCATCCCAGGTCTCCACCAGGTGAGGCAGCACATCTTAGACTGGGAGGGCTGCTGGTCAAGTTTGGAACCCTGCCTGGTGGTACCCATTTGGGACCTAGGATAGAAGCGGAGGCACAGCTTGGCCAAACCAGTCTCCCAAACAGCAGGGCTGATGGGGAGGTTGGCCTGGGACTCCCAGTACCAGGTCACCGTCCTCAGGAAGCCAAGGCCACCGGCAAGGGGCAGCTGGACAGGTCCAGCCCCCTAAATGCAGCTCAGGCTGCAGCTGCTCTTCCCCCTCCTCCTGCCCCAGCTGTCCTATTGGGTGTCACCTTCCCCTCACAGCAGGGCACAGGAAAAAAACGTCTGTCTCCTAGGCTCCTCCTTAGTCTCCAGCAGCACTCATGTCCGGGGAGTAAATCACAAAACCCTTTTGGTTCCAGACTCCCACCCACATGGCCAGCCTTGAGAACCTGTGTATTTTTATGTACTGCCTCTGGCTGGTGTGATACTATGTATTTCAGATCTTTTCTGGAAAGATGTATTATGTTGGAAGGGAAAGAATAAAATTTGTATTTTTTTCTGGTTAGGAGTTCTTGCTGTAGTCCTAGTGTCTTATTCTGGGCCAGCCTTTCCAGGAGGAGCACAGGATTCCCCTCCACCCCACTCCCCCTAGTGTGGGAGCAAAGAGCCATGAATCTTAAGGACTGGCTCAAGGGCTTCCTCCAGTCCAGATCTAAGCACAGATCACAGCGCTCAGAGCCACACAGGCCCCTCACAACTAGGTTGCCTGTTCTGCTGGAATCCAGAAGCTTGGTCCTGGTTTTTGACCTGCCCAAGCTGCCCAGGACTCCACTTCTTACCATCAGGGGAAGTAGTGGTGGGCGAGGGAGAGATCTGGCTTCCACTCAGAGCAAGGCCCTTTCCTGCTACCTAGCCCAGTCCTCAACACAACCCGGGATTAGGGCACCCAGAATGCAGACTCTGGGGCCACACAACCCTCCTGACTGCTGCTACCCTCAGTACTGCCCTACTCTGGTATCTGGAGGCTGGGATAGCTTCCAGTGCTGCTACAGCATCTCTTCACATCTGCTCCATTTGTTGCTGGAGATATTTCAGCCTCTCCCTGCTGTTCACATTGGCTCAAGGGAGGAGCACAAATAAGGGGCATCCCAAGAAAACCTCAGCACCAGAGGTCCAAGATCACTACATGCAACCCGAAGAGCCTTGTATGTTTATATCCCTCGACAAGAATGACAACACAAAAGGTTGCTCATATACAAAAACTTTTTTTTAGCCCATTTGTAAGAAAGCACAGCCCCTCTAGAGTCCCAGTCATACAAAAAAGTTCTGCCTGTGTGTACAAGGCCCACGTCAAATAGGACACCAACTCTATTTTCCAGATAAATCCAGCTGAAGCTCTACCCAACTGGGCGTCAGGCAGAATCACGATTTTCCTCCACTAGAGTGGTGTAGGAGCCAGCTCGGGCAGAAAAGTTTCTCTTCTGAAAAGGTTTTTCACCATAGCTGTTCAGGGCATCATTTCGGTGTGGGGAGGGGCGGCTGTGGCCAAGGCAGCCCTCCTCCCCCAAGATCCTCTCCCGTGCTCCCCAGTCCTCATTCAATCGTCGTCCAGTGGAAAGGCACGGGTCCGGGCCTCGCGTCGTCTCGGCTTCGTTCGGGCTCAGGACTGGG